ATTTTTTGTTGAATATGTAGAATCTTTTGGATTTGTTTTTTGAGTTTTGATTTGAAGAGATATGAAGTTAAATTTGTTGATTAAATTTTAATTTTATTTTAACATGAGGTTATGATGAATTTGAACTTAACTTCGATTTCAATCTCAGTTTTTATGTCTAAGACTTCGAGAATGGGATGAAGAGCAATAGATCCATCTCTGTTTCGAAGAACATAATTGTGAATGATTTTTTCTATTTCTTTTTCTTTTTTTCGTTTTTGGTTTAATTAAAGTTAATTTAGAGTAATTTTATAGTGAAAAAATGCCAAACAGATCTCCAGAGGTCCGATTCATAACTTGGGTTACGCCCGATCCGACCTTGGGATTCACCGATCTGTGCCTTGGTCTAATCCATAACGATAGAGAGGAAGCGAGAGGAAGAGGGGTGAGGGAGAAGAAGAAGGATATATTTGTCTTTTTAGTTTTTGTAGAATTATGCAGTATTTTTTTTGTAATTTGCTTTAGTAGGTCCAATTTCACACATCATCATTTTTTATCCAAATCAGCATTAGTTTTTTGAGTTATTTTCCATTTCAGCAAATTAATTTATATTTAAAGCAGATTTGATAAAGAATGGGTGCCATGTCAGCACAAAACGGATGAAGAACAAAAAAGCCAAAAAAAATTTAAGGACCAAAAATAATGAAATTTTCAAGTTCAGAACCAAAATTGAGAGTTAGTACAATAGTTGAGGACTAAAATAGAGTTTAACAAAGTAAATAACAACTATTTATAGAATAAAAAAATTTCAATTAATATTCATTTTTACCAGTATAGCTTCATGCAAAACTAGACCATAATATGACAATGTATAAGCTAAATATTAGCTACTGGATCTGGGGCAACTTTCCCTTCTGTCATGAAGGATTTCGAGTGTTTGCCTATTTTCAAAAAAAAAAAAAAAATTGCAGTGTTGTGCAATTTTTTCTTTACCAAATAATCATATACGTTCACATCAAGGTTACCAACAGAAAAATAAAAAGATCAGTGAAATCTCAAATTATCATAAAATTACGAAACAACAAAATAAAAAAAAAAAAAAAAAAGCAAACAGTATCCCATACACCTTGTCTGCTTCCCAATTGCCCTGCGCCATCGTTTCAACTGCGAGAATAACCAAACCATAAACTGTTCAGAAACACAATTTCGCAATGAAAAAAAACACAAATTCAAATTGGAAATAATCCGACAAGATTGACTAGGTATATATTGCAACAACATAGACAGGAACGAACATTTAAGCGATTACTTCAGATGGATCAAAGCCGGCATTACCGTTGTTGAACTCTGGAAAGCAGCGATCTTTGTTGATCAAGCATTGCATCTTTCATTTGAAAAGAAATTGAAAATAAATATCGATCAAAATTCAGAAAAATTTTAAAATTCATGCAAGTAGACTAGTTACGAAGGCGATATCTGGATTAGAAATCACTTGTTCAAACACTGGAATGGGAATTAGGTTATCAGAAGAAGATTGAATTCTGCAATTTCAACACCTGGGACAGCTCGGATAGTATCAACAGGGACGAAGATGGCGAATTTGAATAAGCTGAGTGAATCCAGAGCCGAGTTCGACGTTCAGGCTGTTAGGCGAACAAAAAGACAGGTTTGGTTCTCTTGGGCTTGGATTTGACGAGTTTATTGACTACTGGACTCAGTGGGCCGTTTAATCACGGCGGTATCCAGTCTAGCCCAATCTGTTTTTAGGCCAGCAGACATTAGCATCTGGCCTACGGGCCTCGTCCAGTTACTCGTTTTACCAATTTCCCGCCAGACCAGTAGTGGGACCCATAAGATGCCAACGTTTTGCCGACGTGGTTTTGCCTCCTTATAACAGAGTACTGAAAAATAATAGGCGAAAAGGTTGTATAAGC